TGTGATTCTCCAACTGGTCATCCGCTTCATTTGCGAATCGGAAGGCATGTGTTGAGGGTCCGTCTTTATGGTAAACAATCTATCAATACACGTTAGGCGATGAACGACCACGGGTTCAGAGTTACTATCATACCTTGGGGTGGACTTCATTGTGCCATCGCACCTCGTCCGCATTTTTGCAGTCGTAACCGCCATGTGCCGAGGCACATACTATCTTTTGTACGGTGCTGTCGTCTGGTACCAAGACAATGATATGCTCCCAGTCGTGGCGGTGTCCAGTACCGGGCCCGATAGCGTAGTCCTTCTCAAAGTAATAGTCATACATGTAAGCACACCAGCCATTATTACATCGCTGCCGTGAGCTACGGCCAATCTGGTCAGCATCAAACAGTCGAGTGAATGATGATCGAGGAGCTAACTTACTAAACGTTGGAATTGTCAAGATCAGCCTCGTCACGGCAGCCTTGCCACTCGCCACTACCTTCAGATAAACCCTCAGAAACACGCTTGTCGCAGCCAATAGCAGGCACATTGTAGCAGCCATCAGTATCAAAGTCTTGAAAAGATATTAGCAGTGGGAAAACAGGCAGCTACCAGCTCTATTGCAAGAAGCGATCTTACCAAGAGCTGGTTGGTGGCGAAGATCGTTCTCCGTAGCCCATTCCGGAAGCTTCGTAGGGGGCTCGACACTCTGTCTCAGCGTAAGAGCATGAGAGGGCGAGAAAAGTGCTGCCCCAAGAAGCCAGAGAGCAGTTTTTGCTAGAGCATGCTGCCCTCGTCGCGAGGATGTGGATAACGACATATCTGCGAAGGATAGTGTCTTTTGCTGAGAATCTAGCAGCTTGCTTTCGGGCTAATACATCAAATGGACCGACTAACAATGGGGGACACAAGTTATATACTTGACTCCTAACAATTGAGCCTATGCGCAGAGACTCCGATAGACAAAGGATTGTTTGCGAGGTGAAAGACTGCACTGCACGTTTTTGCTAACATCCGCTGTTGATTCCGGAGTATGGGCTGTCAAAAGCAGCTGCCTAAGAGAGCGTAGCAGAACATAGTTGAAGTGAGATCTTAGGTTATTCGTTAGTTTGTCTTGGCTAATCAACATCCTAGTTTGTATAACTGTCCTGCGGTATTTTCTGCTTTTGTTTTTTATAAATGGCAAATTACTTGAGGGAATTCAGAGCCGATAAGGCCCTGATCTCTTCGCAGTCAGAGCCAGTCATGGGCCAGAACCAGGACTGCTGAATCCATTGTCAAGAACAAACAGCGGGTCAAAAGAATCTGGAGGTGTCTGGACTCGGGGCTGAGGGTCGAAGATATTTCCTTGCACGAAAATAGCGCCCAGAGTAAATGCATCTTGATTTCGCTTGCCCTATCTGGACGACGCTGGCTCACTTGTACATGCACATCGGCTTACATGATTTGCCAAGCCAGCAAGCGAGCGAAGTTTAAATCAAATATCTGACATAAGAACATCCCCTGTATAGAAGACTATGCTTACCGTTGCAGCTGAAAGGGTTCGTTAAGTTTGCAAACGAGTAAAGACGAAATGACTATCTGACACAAATTACTCTCTGCTGAGAAGAATATGCTTGAGGTTGCCGATGTGGAGGTAATTCACCGCCGCAAGGCAACAAATTGTATGTGGAGCCCTTCGTCTTTCTAATTATTATTCTTTGTGTATCTTGACATCTGGTAGATCTAGCCGGTGGGCGATACCTACCTACTTTAGGTAACTGAAGAATCCTTCACAGAAAAGCTGACACCAAGCCGAACGATTCAGGAAGTTGAGAAGAGTTGGCGGCGGCATCGGACCCGGAAGGCCCGAGCTGGGACCGGATGTGGCATTCCGGCCGAGCCCACCGCCACCAGGGAACCCGAGCCTGAGCCGACGCCGTCAGGCGAGATATGCCTTGCGGGTTGGTCAGCGGCCTTTATAGAAGGGCGCAACGACTTTGGCTACGTCGCCTTCAAGCACGACGATCTCTGCGGCCACAACTCGGTCCGTATCGACGAATTTGAGATTGATGGCACTTGCGACCTGGCCCAGAACAAGTTCAGGGTCTTGTTTGTGCTGTGCGGGGTGAAAGCTTAGTTTTGAAGATTCCGTGCCGCATCGAGAGACACTCGGTTGCGGTACGCAGCTTGTGGTGGACGACAAGAGGTATCCTGCTGGTGAGGTGGGCTCCATGGAAGCCCCGTGTTTTGGCTCTTGTACGGTGGGACCGGCGTTTGTGTCGGCCATGGGAATCTTAAAGTTCCCGAATATGCCCGTCTGCCAGTGAAGTTAAGCCCTGGTTGGTTGAGATCTTTCCCTTCAGGCTTCCCACGATTGTTTCCTTGTGACGGCAAAATAGCTAGGTGATATAGTTTGTCATTGATTAGCAAGTCTCCTCTCGTTTTCATACAAAAGACTCTATATCCGCTACCCCGTTCTCGATTCTAAGGCTGACTCCGCCCGTTGTTCCCAGCCGCCAGGTTCTCCGTGCTTCGCCCTGCCTTAACCTCCTCCCTCCAAACCGATCTCTCTTGCTCAGCCACACCAGGACCCTTGTATACACTTCCGTACAACCCAGAAGCCCAGCTCGCGCCATCCTTGGCCTTCTGGCTCTTGCTGTCCTTGAACTTGCGACGATACCATTTCCCATACGCCAACAGATAGTAGAGCCTAAAGCACAAGAGCGCAAACTTGTCGTGCTCCAAATCCTCGGGGTAATCCGCGCCCATGTCGACAGCGGCAGCAATACCAGACATGATGGCGACCTCGTGCGCATTGACCAGAGTCCATGAGCCTGCGAAACGGACGCGCTTCTTAGCTTGGAGGAACATTATCCACGGTACGACAAAGGTGTAGTGCTTCCATGTGTGGCAAAGCTGATGCCACCAGTCGGCGCGGATGATCTTGTCCTTGTCAATCTCGCTGTCGGTCCAGTGCTTGCGGTCGCGGTCCTTGTTCAGGTAGATGGTCTGGAAGACGTGCTGCTCAAAGGGAACCTTGTCGGGGAACTGGGACTGGTAGTTGGTGGTGTCAAAGCACATCTCCAGCTTGGAAAGGTCATCGTCGTACATGCGAATGTAGTACATGGGTCTAAAGTTGTCCTTGGCGAACGCAAGGCGGGATGACTCGTCAACCTCGCCCTTCTTGCCGAGTGTCTTTACAGCCTTCTTCTCGTCGTAAAAGTTCTCATAGTACTTCTTCATGTAGTCGGCGTCGTTGTGAGTAATTGTGATATCGTCGGAGAAGGTGGCCGAGCCGAGCACCTTGCGCTCGCGCCATGATGAGGTCTTGCCCAGGATCTTCTTAGCGGTGTCGGCAAGGACGCACATGACGATCTCGTCGTAGTGTTCCTCTGACTCGATTGCGTCTGGGTCGCCGCCAACGGGGTTATGTCCGTCTTCCACGGGGGTCCGGGGTTTGGTCTTTACGAGGACGCCGCGCTTGTTGCGGTGGACAACCTCAGTGAGCTCCGTCGACAAGCGAACAGTCACGCCTCGAGACTCAAGGTCCTTCTTCCAGGTAGTATAGAAATCGGTAAAGTTGGGGAAGACGACCATTGGCGGCTGGTTGGAGGCGACGCTGTTCGGGTCGGCGGGGTACCACATTCCGTAAGTTGGCGAAGTACAAAGACGTTCCAGCATGATGGCGGGCACCTCTGGCGTCGCGTTGCCAGTACCAAGGAAGAGAGCAGTCATGGGCAATCCCACGACGTTTGTGAACTCGTCTGAAAATCGAAACAGCTTGAAGACAACTTTCAACGGCAGTAATGCGAAAAAAACTTCGAACCATCTCATAATCTTGAGCATGAAAGCCAGTCTGCGGACTTCGGCCTGGTGCTTCTCGATGAACTCGGTCGGGAAGACGTTGGTCCAGAACTTATCGTCCTTACCGAAGGAGACCTGAAGCTTGACGGGATCCGCGTGGTAGCCTTGGCGGGCGAACATGGTCAGCGTGTGGTGGAAGATGTAGCTGCCGCCCTGTACACCCTGGTTGAACCAGCTCGCGCCGTGTCGCTCCTTGTTAATGGGCATCGAAAAGGCCTGCCCTCCGCAGTAATCGACCGAGTCGATGAGGGTCACATCGAACTTGTCCGGGTGGTTCGAGAGATGGTACGCTGTCGACATGCTACGACATGTGAGTCTCTCGCCGTGCGAATTACAATCGTTCGTCTTGATAGTTTTGCTTACCCAGCAGCACCGGCGCCGACAACGAGGACCCTCTTCCGCCCATCCTTGCCTGTATTTCCGTTTTGCGACATGGTTTTGGAGCCGTTTTGCTCAAGGTCACGATTTGGATCCTGAGATGCCATCAATGTCAAAGGAGAGATTCGTTATCTCATCACATCAGTAGAGACATCCCACCTGGCATGCGGACGCGTGCGGGTCAAATATGGGACGAGAAATGTGTAGCTATGGCGTCTATGACGCTGTGACATTGAGTTTAATGAGGTCACCACCCGCAAAGCGCCTCTTTGTTGTTCACCTGCGCCCACTACGCCCAGGGGGAAGCTACTAGCGATCGATCCGGGGGATCCACCCCCAAGAAGATCCTAAAGATCGGGACTAGGGTGTCACGGTGCTTAAATCGTTAGCGGATGCGCTGGACGACGCCTGTCACACCTCGTGCGCTCACATGTAAACATGAGCGTGTCACTCTTTTCTCACCTTCATCACGATGAGAGAGCTTTAGGCTCCTGAAGGGCAAAGTTCTAGACCACGTCGAAAGCTTGGGGCTGAAGACGGACTGCTATTCACATGAGTGACCGTATCATGAACTTGTCGAATCTCGAGTCCAGACGAACACAATGCAGAGATCACCCCACTATAGATTCTGGTAATACTCAACTGAAGATATTCAAGAGGTATTAAAATGCTTAGATACGCGTAGAAATTCCCGATTCCGGCTGTCAATCAATCTACTCATCTTGCCCAGGTTCACAGAATTACACGATGTGTCTCAACTCACTCTCACCATTCACTCTCACCACTCACTCTCATCAAAGCTTAGCAGCCTTCTGCAACTGCCTCACAAACCGCCCATCATCCCTATCCCACCATGGCCAGAACGGAACACTCTCCCGATCAACAGACGCCGTAAACTCAGGCTTCCTCCTCTCCAAGAAACTCTTCACCCCCTCAACATTGTCCTCCGTCCCAGCAAGCTGCACAAACACCCTCGAATCCAACACGTGCGCCCCCTCAGGCGAAGCCGGACAATACACCATCATATCCCTCATCAACTTACCACTCACCAACGACGTATTCTCCGCCAGATCCTCCGCCAACCTCACCGCGTACTCCACCGTCTCCCCCGGCGAGGGCAAAAACTTTGAAAACAGCCCGCTGACAAGCGGATCCGTGACGGGGTACATGTCCCCCGTCGCGACGACGTGGTTGGCGCGCGAGAGGCCTATGAGGCGCGGGAGGAAGAAGGCGCTGCAGGATTCGAGGACGAGACCGCGCCGGGAGAAGGGGAAGCCGCACCGCGCGCCCTCGTAGGCTACCCGGATCGTGGCCGGGAGGATCATGGTCAGACCGACGCCGGCGGCGGGGCCGTTGACGGCGGCGATGGTGGGTTTCTTGCAGTTTGAGATTGCCAGCGCGACGCGTCCACCCCTGTGTGAAGAGTGAAGTATGCATCAGTCCGAATTCGCGTCAAGTATCCTGCGGGATTACTGTTTCTATGGCTTTGGAATCAGGCAAGGCTCACCAATCCCTAAAATCCCTCATCGATTCCTCCGTCTCCTTGAGGGCCATCATACCCATAAACCCAACATCCAGGTCCGCCCCTCCGGAGAACGCCTTGCCTGCCCCCGTGATGACGACCGCGCGGACCCGCGGGTCCTCGCTGACGGTGTTGAAGATCACCTCGAGGCCGGTGAACATGTCTCCCTTCATGGCGTTGTACTTTTTGGGCCGGTTGAGGGTGACCATGATGACCTTTGTAACGGATGAGGAGCTCGCTGGGACATGGGAGACGAGTAGGCCATCGTACTTGAACGAAGCGTATGATTCGGGCAGCTTATTTGGGGATGAGGCCATTGTTTTTTGCGAATCTGTTCTATGAGTGCTTGTGATTTACTATCAAAGGTGAAATTGCCGTCAATGATGCAACGTAAACAGCGGTTGTTATCAGTTTCTGTCATTCTACTTATATGTCTCCTGTCTGAAGTTCGCGGAGGGAGCCTCGGCAGATTCACCACTGCATGTAAGTAATCACTAATCGACAAAACATCAACTTGGCCGAAGCATCCTGCGAAATGCCTGTCGACCCCGCGTTCAACCCGTCGACCCCAACTTTGAATCCCGACAACTGAGTTCTGGGGTGACATTGACCACCTTTGTGTACGACGCCTCGGCTGGGACTTTGGTTTGCTGGTGCATCTGATAGGATAGATGAAAATACAGTTAAAGATGACGGCCTGTTGTTACGGCCGGTTCATGGGGTCCAGGTCTCATGAGTCTGTTTGCTCTCATTAACGCCAACTTTCCCAAGTTGGCAAGTCTAGGCAGGTAGGAGAAGACTTAATAGAGGCTTATGGCTATTCATCGCCTACCGAGTCTTGGCTCGGGACGATGTTAATGCCCATAGTCACGGAGTAAAGAATGATCGGTGGTCGATCAATTATATGGAAAGCAGAAGCGATGACCACCAACCCCATAGGAACGACTACAACGGGATACCGTTCAGGAGTCCAAGTTCTCATCGTTTCTTCATGCCATCATGAGCCAAACGTAGCTTTCCATACCTGTCGTCGTCAATAAGCTGCTGAGCACCGCCTCAACTTGGCTGCAATCATACGTTTCGTGATATGTAAGTCACGAGCGTCGTATTCCCTGGTCCTAAAGGAATCAGAAGCAGCTCGATGGTGTGTTTCACGAAATATCGATCTATTCTCAATCAAAGACTGCTAACATAAGACATGCAAGCAAGTCTCTGGACTTCCAAGTCGGTGCTTGGCAGGAGATCAGATTCCGCCAAGTATCGCCCTCAGATGTTGACATCAAGCCTGGACCTCATGCCCTGCGATCAAGCCCGTTTGATTCTTCAAAGATCCTCAAACACAGGCTCCTTCTTCTCAGCAGATAATCTCTCGGCAATGGCGTTCAGCCACGCTCCCAGCCTCACGCCCGCCTTCCCAATCACCTCATCAACGACTTCCCAGTTCTCATCAAAGTACCCCTCGCTGAGGTCATTCGACTTCAACCAAGCCAGACCCTTCTTCAGCACGTGCGAACAGACGTACGCGTTCGACTCCGTGGCCCAGCCCAACGCACACGAACCCGTCTTGAGATCAATGCACTGCCCGTCCGTTGCGTTGACACCCGCCTGCTCTTGGCGTTGATAGAGGTCAGCTGCCCATGAGGCGGCGGCAACCTTCTCCTGCGGAATGCTCAGGTGCGGCGGCAGACCGCGGATGCGGTGCGGAATCTGGGTATCCCAGACGGAGTGCAGGCTCATTGGGCCGTTGCAGACACCGTGGTTGGGCTGGCGGCGCCAGCAGACGGGCCGGATGTCGTTGCCGCCGCGAAGGAGACCTGTGGCGTGCAGGGGCTGATGGATATCGCCCAGGAAGTGTATTACAAACATTGTCGCGTTCTTGCGGTCAATGTGTGGGAGGCTCGTATCGAGTATTTGAGATGTCTGGTCCGAGCAGGTCAGTCTTGATGATTGCTGCGATGCAAGGGTGGTTCTTACGTAGTTTGTGATGGCGGAGATGATGCAGCCGCTGGATGGGCAGTCTTGAGGGTACTTCATGCCGCACATACTAGGGGGGTCGTCGCGGGGATCTGGCAAGTTGTGAGCTTTTGGATCTTGCGAGCGTGGCTATGGCATGGTCAAGGGACAGGATTCGTACTGATGTAGTGATACTTGCTTGCCCAGCCCATGTGGCCTCTGAGTGTATCGGCCCAAGTCGCAGCATCGGAGAAGTCATAGTTGCGATCGTTGGCGAGCAGGTCTCCATAGATGGCGGCGGCTTCATCAGTCAGGTATTTCTCGGCGAGGTATCCGACGGTACGGTGACCGACATTGCCCCAAGAAACGACCGATCTGGCGGCCGCGGCCAGGAGAATAGTAGAGAGACGCATCTTCGGTTATGTTGAAGCTGTATGTGTAAGAGCGTTGTCGGTTCTCTAGCAACCTGCGACGCACACGCGGAGCTTGGAGCTCTTATCAGATATCGCCGTTCCCCCTCCAGCGAGTGACCTGTGCGACAGGCTAACCTGTTGCATCGCACTATTGGGCTGTCACCTCTGAAGTGGCTGGCTGCCGTCTGATGTGGCACGTCGAGACACGGCGGCAGCAGCTCTCGGAGACTTCCGCAGTTGAACGGCCATTTGGTGCTTTTGATTGGAGAGAGACACAACAGGGCTGAGACGCAGGTCCAGAATGGGGACTGGAGCTCTCTGTTCACGACTCAGCTCGAGGGGAGCTCTGAGGCGGGAGCTTTGATACTGGTGAGGTGTGGACACTGGACAGCTGAGAGCTCTGCTAACAGATTGGCGTGCCAGTCGTGCCAGCCTGGTGCTAGAATCTGCCAGTTGGCTTGTATGCGTACTTGAGAAATCGTTGAGTACTGGATGGGAATGACGTCTCGATCGGCGAGCTGAGGATATTTGGGAAACGATTGTCAGGGTGAATGAGCCGGCAAACGGAGTGCCCAACTGCGTACCGAAGCAGCTGTCCCGGCCGAGCTCGGATTTTCACTGACGCCCGGGGGAGCATTCTGGCACAATACGCAGATGCTTGACTCAAACGACGGCATTTGCCGAGGATGTAATCTGTAGCTGTTCCTATCCTGCCTTGCCTGCTGCAACTGAACCTCAAACTGTTGGCCAGCGTTGGTGGTAGCGGTTAGAGCATTCAGCAACTGGTCAAGATGCCCAACGCATGTCTCACAGCGTCGGCCACAACCCAATGAGCCGTCTCGAAACTTAGCACAACGTCTACCTCAGAGTGGTCATTGAGATCCCCCGTGGGGTGGCACTGGTGGATGGTTGGCGCCATCAGCCGCAGGTGGACTGTGGAGGGCGAGACAAGCTCCTAGACCCAGGATTCCCAGAGAGTCAAGACTGGAGCGCTGACATTGCCGAGGCGGGCTTGGCTCAGCTTCAGCTCTTGGAGGGTGGCGCATTGATGCCCTCCATTACCAGACTCCCAGTGCCTGCGTCCTGGCCCGTAGGAATGCTCGGGACCTGGCAGGGGTTCCTCACATCAACATGGCTCCCGGCACCTCAGGCCAATGATGTGTTGTGTGTCAAGTTGCGAGGGCCGAGCTCCTGCTCGGTTCAGGATGGAGACAGCATCAAGGGATAATCCACGGCGAGTGGGCGAATCAAGCTGGTGGGTGTTAATCTTGTGGTTGTGTCGCACTTTGGAGTTGGAGTTGGGAGTCCACTGGGCAAAAGCTTTGTTGTTAGGTACGGAGTACTTTGGCACGTCTGGGTGCCCGTTTTGGGGATTGCCTCAGGTACCTCATCTAATGACGATAAGCCAAGATAAGATAAGATAGGTACCTGGCCCAAGACTGCCCGATAAGGATAAGTGACCTTAGAGTCCCCGTCCTTTGAAGTTTGAACAGCTGCCGCAGATCGGGCTGCTGCAATTTGCGCCTGCCAATAGCGTCCCAAAGCCTGTAATTTCGCTGCAAGGACCCCTAGACTCACTTATCACAGACCAGGTTTCCCACTACCTTACTCCAGTGAAGTGATTCCCCGCCGTTGGCGATAAGCAGGCGAAGAAAGCTGACGTTATCATTGATGCCATCACGAATTGCGCACCCATCTAATTACCCCTCTGCCTCGATGCGCAGCACGCGACACACGATATCTCACAAGCCACCACCTTGCTGTCAAGCCTAGGACGCTTCAACTACTTTGACTGGTCGACCCTTGACTCGTTCATCTGCCCAGCCACACAGCCAGAACGAGCCGTTTCGACAGCCCCCAGAACAACGGCAAGCGACTAGGTGCTACGCATCAGCCACCATGTCCGAGGACCTATTCAGACCAGCACTGATCGTCGTTGACTTTCAAGAAGACTTTTGCCCGCCTGTAAGTACCTGAGATGGACGTTTGACTTCTTGGTTCGTCACATCTTGGCCCATTCGCGGTGTGAAGCCTCAAGTGAGCTCTCGTCGCCGCTGAGAGTAAGTGAGACTAATATCGCCTCGAGAACGGCTCACTTGCCGTGGCAAACGGCCGCGACATTCATCCCGTTGTCAACTCACTACTACGCCTACCGTTTACGATCAAGATTGCCACGAAAGACTGGCATCCCCAAGACCACATCTCGTTCGCATCAAACCACGATGGCAAGCAACCCTTCGTCGATGCCATCGATATCGTCAACCCGCGAAACAGCGCCGAGACATTCCACACCCGCCTGTGGCCAGTGCACTGCGTACAGGGTACGCCCGGTGCAGCCCTGGTGCCGGAGCTAGATGCCTCGGCCGTAGACACTGTTATCGAAAAGGGCCAGAATAAGGACGTGGAGATGTACAGCGTCTTTTACGACCCCTTCCAATCACCCAGAGTGTCCGACAGCGGACTTGCGGCCTCTCTCAAGGACAAGCGCGTCACGGACGTCTATGTTGTCGGTCTGGCTGGTGACTACTGCGTCAAGTGTACCGCGCTGGATGCCCAGAAGGAGGGGTTCCGGACCTTCATCGTGGAAGAGGGTACCAGGCCGGTGGACGCTGAGAAATGGGACGAGTGCAAGGGCGCCCTGGAGGCCAGCGGAGTCAAGATCATCAGCATGGAGGGCCCGGAGGTCCGTAGGGTTGGAGCAGTTGGACGGGGATGAGGGGCCGATCAACGTTGTACTCGAAAGCCGTCTGATATCTTTGACACCGAAAACCCCAGAGCAGAGGCCAACGATGCTTCCGTGTTCCCTCCAAGATAGGTTATGCGATGAGTTCGGGATATCTGTTGTTTCAGAGACTGATGGCGTTTGGGGAACCGCCGAGCTGGGTTTACCAGCATCAGCTTCAATGGTGTATACTTTGGGCACATGCATTGATACAGCTCTTGACCGGTTACACAGGTGCTGTATTTGTATGCATGGATAGCTTGAGGCGATGTGAGAGGTTACGTAGCTTGGTAACGATGGAACGGCCGTGTATCCGTATTCTGTGCTCTCCCCTTTGTCGTCATGTCTGAGATTAAGATTGTCTTCTTGCCTCTACTTGTAGTAAGGCCATAGCTATTGTAGCTCGTCAACGGCCGCTAGCAAAGCAGCTTGCCTACCCTGCGGGCTTGGTTCGTAACAGCCAGCGAGCAGAATTGACTGACAACATTGAGTATCCATAGCGTGTTCGTAGACATTCTCAGTCTAGTGTAGAGTAACAAGAACTCGCTGTGCCGTCGTCGACGTGGTCAGTGATGCTTGGATAGTGGCGGGTCGCGAAGGATCCGTGGCCCCGCGACAGAGCAGCAAGGCCCGGGGGAAAGGGCAGACTCGGGACCTTCAGCTGGTCTATGCAGGCGCAGACTTTCGGGGGGCCAGTGAGGAGACCACTGACAAGGCTTGAGGAGGGTGGGTGCCAGGTAAGAAACAAAGACGGGGAACAAGGCAAGAATAATACAGGGAGATCGCCAGGGGTTCGCTGCACAGATCTGACGTTGATGGACATTGGCGACGAACCTTTGACCGTGACTGGAGCTTCACCGCCGGACTGTACCCACAGACGCCCACCAAGGCCGGAAACGTCAAGATAACATGAGAAAGGACCGGGAGGAGGGGGGATTCAAGTTGAGTGGGCAGGAGGATTTTCCCTCATTATCAGATCAGGCCCGCAAGAGGGGATAGTCCGAGAGAGGTTAGAGACTTTGAAAAGGCTGGAAGAGGGCAGAGAAAAGTTTCTTGTCTCCCGTCTGGGCATTACAATCTGGATGAATGGCCATGTCGAGTGGCATTTCTCCATCTGGGGAGGCTGGCAGGGGATGGAAGAGTTTTCGACAAGGGGTCTTGCGCATCGTGAGACTGAGGTAGGAATTTGAGCAGAGTCATCTTTTCGTACCAGCAGTGAGATGTCGCTGGTGAGGCTCATGCGGCACAGCTATCTATCCGTGATAACGTAAGTCCAAGATGATGCATGAACGGAGTTGAACTGAATTGTTTTTGCAACCAAACGGAATTGGGAAAATTGTAGCAAGGACCTTTAGAAAAATGGCGTCTCAAATGCAGGAGCAGAATGCAGTGCCAACGAAAAGCAGCAGGAAGGAGCCATCCACCATCGTTGCACTGCTGCAGGAGCGGGAGACCCACTGCAATTCTAATCAAAGCCGCCTTTCCTAATCGGGACATTTTGTAGGTGTCAATTCTCATTCGATTTGGGGACTGGAAAGAAGAACTGTTCCCTTCCTTCATTGTATCGAGGAAGGTACGGATACCAAGGTAAGGTACCCTACGAAAAAGGATGCGAAGAAGGAAACCACGCCCAGTGATACACAGTTCAACATCTTCATCTGAGCTCAGGTTTCACTTCGGGTCGTTTAAGGTAAAGCAGCCCCACGTTCCTATCACCTCGACGCATTTCAACAGCAAAAAGGCGGCCTTCCAGAAGCGACTTAACCACACAGAAGGACGCACGACGCATGGCGCACGGGTGCTGCAACACGCCTAGCCCCTCGACGCAACCAAGGCACCGAACGACGCCTTACTACCACCGTCCCTGCTGTGTGTCTGTGGTTACCTTGCTTCATCCGTCTCTTTGGGGCACAGCAGCTGAATAATTGTCGCAGCAGGTCCCGTGTTTGTAGGTATGACGCGGCGACCAGGCGGCGGTGCTCTTGGACATTTGAGAGTCTTGACAAGTTCACAAAGTCAGACTTCCATTGGAATTAGGCACCAGAGTATTCTATGCCAAAGGCAAGATACGAATAAGCGTGGCTGATCTTGAGGTGCGTTATCGGCTTATTCGATTTGGAAGCGAGGTGTGCTGCATGTCTCAAGCAGGCCTGATAAGCTGATAAGCTGATATGATGGGTACATTTGGGGTTCAAACATCCAGATCATCGAGCAAACACGACACCTTCAAGTCGAGCAAACTGCATTTGAGGCTGATTTAGCTGGGTCTCAGCTGTTGATCTATTCTGCAGAACGAAACCTTTCCACTGCTGCTTCTCCAATGACATTTTTGAGTTCTCTCTGACCGAAAAATCGCAGAGACTAACAGCAGAGCCACATAGTATGGCACATTACCTAGAGCAAAGAGCAACGAGTGGATGAGATGTGACGCGCCATCCGTGCGGGTGCGTCGTCTGCAGCTAGGCAGTGCCGTGGCTCCCAATGACACATTTGCTACTGCCTTACGTGCGCTTACCTGGGTATTAGGTTGGCTTTGAACATTCGCACTTTGCCCAAGTTGGACGTACAAAAGATACTGGGATAGACGTTAGTAACGATGGAAGCCTTTAGTGCCCGCCTGGCCTTTCCCAACACTCCGCAAGATGGTCTTAGCGGATGGCAATACCCAAGGTAGGCTGGTTGCTGCCGCGAATGGGAGGTGACAGGCGCACCAACTTGTCACAACGCCCAACGTCTGCCAGCCTCTGAAGAAACAAATGAACACTAGGTACCTTAGACCGTTGAAGCTCACGAATCGGTGTTGGGCATGACACAACGGGAGCACCCTGTGTGCATTTGGTTCAGCGTGATAATACGACGGTGTGCTGTGCCTTTCTGGGATTAGTCTGCGAGAGTACCTCTCAGAGTCCCGCGGTACATCGGCGCGGACCATCATCGGTAAATTTGCATATGGTGGGGCAGCAACTAGGTACGTATCTTCTACCCTTGTCCAATTCATCACTTTTTTTTTTTTTTTTTCCCTCTCTTGCAGTGTTCCTCTTCGGCCCAGAATGGCCATCCCATCCCCATTGCCCACCACCACCACCCAAAAAAAAAAAAAAAAAAAAAAAAAAAAGATACGCAACTTGCGCCAACATGTCGCTGGGATTACCATCATTTCACTTTCCGTCCCAAAGTGGATCCTCGAGATACTTTCTTACGTATAGGCTTTGTCACAAAATAACAAGTACCTAGAGCACCTCACCTGGCTGCTTGTTCCCTCCGTTCGCTGTGCCATTGACAAGCATCCGGGTGTCTGGCAACTCTCTTTTTTGGTTTTTTGATCTTATTTTCTGTGTTGTTATTCCCTGCACCTTACTGTAAAGGTACCTACTGCGAAAGTTAAGGTGTGAGGAACACGAACCATTGCTTAAGCTTGCTCCTATCCCCTCGTGCCTCTCTCCTATCTTATCCTTCACACCTCTTTTTATCAAGGTCGGGCAGGTTGTTGCTCCTTTGACCACAAGGTCTTATCCTGTCTGTTTCTCTGCTCTCTTGATCCTCGCCCCCCCGCTACGCCACTTGTGAATACCTTAGTGCCGTGGTGGTCTCCATATCTTTAAAAGGTACCTGGCTGCCCGTTGCATCGCGACTCTTGATTCTCGTCTTGCTCCTCTCCCTCTCCCCTTCTGAGCGATCTTCTCCCCCCCACCCCTTTTGCAAGGCATCCTCTTCAACAGGAACTGAGCAATCCACTCCCGTCTCCGATTCGAGCACTTCAACAGCTCCTTGCGACTTCGGCTCTCCGCGACCACCACCCTCGATCTCCGACACCTTTCGCAACCACCTCTTTAATTTTATTTTGCTCACTGGCCGTCCCTCTCGAAAACTTCTCTTCCCCCTCTCTCGTGTCATCGTGGTGTGTGAGCTTTTGAGGCACTTTGCTGCAAAATCTAAACTCCAAAACGACGTCAACGGCGTTGGCTCAACAGGTACGTCCAATACAAACCCTCCAATCGGCATTGCACCGCACCGCATCGCATCGCACCGCAGCGCGCATCCCACACAATCCCATCTCATCTCCGTCGCCAAAATTCCTCAACCCAAATTCCAGCCAACCCATCGCTCTCTGCCTCTCTCTTCCACCAAAGACACCAACCACCCCTCCGCGTCTTTTCGCGCACAATTGCCTCTTGCCCGGCTTCCGAACGTCCTTCAATCACTAATCGCAACAAACAGGCTCCGCCTTCGTCCTCTTCTCTTCGGTCGTTGTACACCAATGCCTTCCTTCTAATAGACGATCTTGATTCACCGCAACTTTCGCCATGATATCCTCAACACTTCTCCCCCGCCGTTTTCGGGGTGAGCAGCCCGCCGCTCAGGCCGCTGCTCCCTCCTGGGTCAACAAAAAGATCACCCCCGCCTTAAAGTTCCTCTCCAAGCTCGCCTGCTCGCACCCTATCCATACCGTTGTCATTGTTGCGGTCTTGGCCAGCACTTCCTACGTTGGATTGCTGCAGGAGAGCTTGTTCGATGCCACCATCAGCGTTCGCACCGCCGACTGGTCATCCCTCGTCGAAGGCAGCCGACGCCTGCAAGCCGGTCCCGAAACTGCCTGGAAATGGCAGAATGTCGAGCCCGAGGCCTCCATCGCCGGTGAAGTCGACCACCAGGCCCTCCTGACCCTCGTCTTCCCCGAGTCTCAGTCTCCCGAGTCGATCAACACCGCCCCGCGCACCCACGCCGTCCCGATTCCCCAGAACCTCTCCATTACCTCGCTTCCCTCAACCTCCAACTCTCTCACCACCTACTCTCAGGACAGTGCTCTCGCCTTCGCCGTACCCTACTCCCAGGCCGCCGAGTTCCTATCAGTAGCCCAGGAGATTCCCGATGCCACCAGCGACGAGACCGAGACAATGCACGGCAAGGAGAAGAAGATGTGGATTATGAAGGCTGCCAAGGTTCACACCCGTAACAGTCTGGTGCAGTGGGCTCGCAACGGCTGGACAGAGTTCCTCGACCTGCTCAAGAACGCCGAGGCTCTCGACATCTTCATCATGGTCCTTGGCTACCTGTCCATGCACCTGACCTTTGTCTCCCTCTTCCTCTCCATGCGCCGCATGGGCTCCAACTTCTGGCTCTTCACCAACGTCCTCTTCTCCTCCGTCTTCGCCTTCCTGTTTGGTCTGCTTGTCACCACCAAGCTCGGTGTCCCAATCACAATGGTGCTGCTGTCTGAGGGCCTGCCATTCTTGGTTGTGACCATTGGATTCGAGAAGAACATCATTCTTACCCGTGCCGTGCTCTCCCACGCTGTTGAGCACCGCCGGCCGCAAGAGAACAAGGATACCAGAAAGTCCAGCAAGAAGTCCGACGTGTCATCCCCCAACGTCATCCAGTACGCTGTGCAGGCAGCCATCAAGGAGAAGGGCTACGATATTGTCAAGGATTACGCCATCGAGATCGGCATTCTCGTTCTCGGTGCTGCCTCTGGCGTCCAGGGTGGCCTCCAGCAGTTCTGCTTCCTTGCCGCCTGGATTCTCTTCTTCGAC